AGAGGTCATACTGCCTCCGTCATCAGGGCGATGAGTATGAAGATTTCCGTCTTCTGGGTTGTTGCGCTGTGTAGTCTGGTAGATGTTTACCAGCGTTTCAGAGGTCATACTGCCTCCATCATCAGAGTATGAAGATTTCTGTCTTCTGGGTTGTTGCGCTGTGTAGTCTGGTCGATGTTAACCAACGTTTCAGAGGTCATACTGCCTCCATCATCAGGGCGATGAGTATGAAGATTTCCGTCTTCTGGGTTGTTGCGCTGTGTAGTCTGGTCGATGTTAACCAACGTTTCGGAGGTCATACTGCCTCCGTCATCAGGGCGATGAACAGACTACACAGCGCAACAACCCAGAAGACAGAAATCTTCATACTCACCGCTGTGAGAACCTCAAGTCTTACATTGTTTATTTCTCTTTGTGAAAGTGGGAGTTCTAAATGCCAGATGAGTGTAGGCCTTGTTTGAATATGAAGTGTGGAAGATGTGAGTCTGCTGGAAGCTTTTTAAATATGTGAAATGTTAGGTTCTGATGGTAAGGAATATGCCAGCCGTGGTCTTCTGGGCTGCGCGTGATGCAGGATAGTGTCATAAATGGTAACCAATGTTTCCATGGAACATATAGCTTCCATCTTGAGGATTGAAATGAGTTTACATTAAGATACTTGTCCTATACAGAGAGGAGGATACGCCCATTGGTCGCTACTTCATCTTACCATTATTTTATCTCTGTAGGCCACCATCATTTGGTGTCAATCGACTTCCCTCAGTCCGCAGTTCTTGCAGAACCTCCTCAGTAGTTGATCCGTTTCGGAGCCCGGTCTGGCTGATTTGATCTTGAGCCCTTCTTACTGACACATGCACGTGCATTAGAATTTGTAACTGACCATCACCAAATTTCAATCAGAGCTTCATTTCACATGTGAACACTTTTCAGTTAGAATGCAAACCGCGTTGGTTGTTTATTGAATGAATGGGCACTCTCCTCTCTTTTGTTGTGGCGGGGATTTTTCAACTGCCACCCCTCTAATTCACCAATAAATGCAAATAAACCTCCCGTGTGCTGATTTTTATTTCATAACGAGAGTATGAGATGTAACATTCATGTACCGTGCCAAAAAAATGAGTGTTACTGGTAAAAGTGGTTTTGGGACAGACAGCTGGAACAGTTTCCTGCTAAAACATGTATGTGCATTTGTAAATGCTTCACTAATGCATGTTTGGATCCGGTGATTACGATGTAATATTTCTTACCATTCAGGAAGTACGGTGTGTAGTCATTTCTTTATTAAGTCATATTCTGAAAATTCAAAGCATAACATTTTCTTAATGAAAGAAAAGTAATTTTCATCTAGACTTTTTTTAAAGTGCAAATCGGACTCGCAGTATTGGCTTCAGGATGTGTGAAAAATATGTTCACACGAAACGTGTAACTCGGTAGTTGGGTTTAAAGATGGAAAGAAACTAACATGTTTCTTTTCTCTTGCACATGACATACAAAAATGACAAACATTAAATTATAACTATAACCACAGGGTGCTATAAAAATGTATTCTCAAAGAAATTGTATTTTTTTGTGAATATTACAAAGGTGATATAAAAAAGAAAATTATCAAAAGTCATGCTTTGAGGAATGACATAATATGTGAAAAGCAAAAAATGCTTCTTCTTGAGAAAATGTCTCCAGTAATCACTGTGTTAAATAAAATGTTTGTGACATATTTTATATCAGTGAAAATATACTCAATCTTTCATTTGGCTAATTATGTATTTTTAGAAGAATCTGTTACTGTAAAAAAAAAAAAAAAAAAACGTTTAATTCAAATCCACTTGCTACAATGTGCATTTACTGTATGTATATGTGAACATAAACAGCTGCCGAGTTATAAAGTGTAATGTATATCCAATTTCCTTTGCTTCATTTGTTCACATTTCTATTAGTTTTGTGATAGTTTCCGTGAATTTTTCCTGTTCCAGATCACAACTATCAAATGGATCGCTATACATTACCACAATGTTTCCAGAGCAGCAGGGTCTCAAAGGTGACTACCAGTGTGTAGCCACACTTGACAATGTTGGCTCCATTGTCAGCCACACTGCACGCCTCAAAGTTGCAAGTAAGTAGGAGTGATTACTTCATTGCGTGAGGAAATAGTGCGTAAGTCCGTATACGGTACGCAATTGAAAGAAATTTTTGCCGTGTGAGATTTGAGGTTTGCGTGTCTGTGAAGATGTTGATGTCCTTCTGGGTTATGATGCAGTGTGGCCTCATGAAATGCTGGTCATGTACTGTGAATCTACATGGATTTCACACAGCCTTTTTTTTTATTTAAAACAATTTCAGGATAATGCGTATTTAATTAGATGGAAACATTTTCTCTCTGTATAATGATATCTGCAGTAAGATTATTTTTTGCAACAGTAGATTTTTAAATGCAATAAATAAATTAATTATTCTAAATTGCTCAAATGGAACACAAAAGGAGTGTACATCAGCTTGAATTTTGGAGCAGATCTTTCCATTCTTGTTCCTCCTAATTGATACCTGCTGTGAATAATGCAGTTTGACTTTGCATGTCTGATGAGGATCAGCAGTGCAGTGAGATAAACTGACAGCTGTGCTTGATATAACACCGACATGACACTCTCTGCAAACCCCACTTAACCCTGATTGGCATGAATCTGAACAAGCCAGCGAAGGGCAGTCAATCCCACTTGTTGTGGAAAGTTTAAAGATGTAACAGCCACCCTCTCATCAGAGTCCCGCTCTCTCGTCCCATGTAGATTACAGCAGAGGGATGTTTTAAGGTGATGTGTTATAGGGGCGGAAAGCCCAGGGCTTATAGGCCAAATGAATCACTCTGTAAAGCGGGCCCACTGCAACTAAAAGCATTAGAATCATTAAAAAGTTTTACGGGAGTGAGGGCTGAATAGGACTGTTGCCTGCCCCTCTACTATTGCAGAGAAAAATATTCGGTTCACCAGGTGGCAAGTACTGCGACTGGCGAATGTATTAGTGACCTCTCATAGGAATAGTATTTTTAATTCTGGTGGTGTCATGGATAATTATATGGGATTTTCAAATTTCAAAATAGTGACTAGGAGCTACTGGTCTGTGGTAAATGTTTTTAGCTTGGGTTATAAGCATGCGACCACGCGCAGTGGCCGACTTACTGCGACACTGTCCGTGATTTTCGTTACAGCGGCCCATTGTAGTTTGCCGTATATTTCGACAGATTGTAGAGACTCGTTCACTGGCTCTACTTACCTGCAGTAAATTATGCACATTTTGTTTTAATTTATTCACTGGAAAGTTTTGAGGAATTTTGAGCTGAACTGAGCTAGTTATGATGCTGTCTGTTTGGACTTTTGTGGGGATGGTGTTAAACCGTTTAATTCATGCCAGCAGATAATTTGTTGGGCAGTTAAATATGGAGTTTGGAGATGACTTTGAGTTGAATACAGTAATTAATTTGATAATAATCTAAAATTGTTCTTATAAATAATTTTGTTGTCCGTTGTATACACAGACATTTATTTGTGATGTAAAAGAAGGTTGGCTGTAGCAGGCTCAGTTATACTGTGACAGTTCCGAGCTGTTATTAGCAAGGTGTGCAAGGAAGGGGCTGGAAGATAAACTGCTGAAGTTCAGAGACTGTATGTGTTTGGTGTGGGGGTGGGGGGTAGAATTGCCCTCCAGAGGAAGCAGTCTGAGATGAGGGAAACACTTAATGCAGCCGGGGCAGAAAATACGATGAGATAACCTCTTCACACCATTCCAGGTGGATGGTTCAGTTGTTTGGAAATGAAATTGCTGCTACACGTGTGTGTGTTGCAGAAAGTTTAATAACATTGCGCTAATTTAATACAAGCTGTTTGCTATGTGGAAGAAATGTAAGTTCAGAATATGTAGTTTAAAATGGAAAGCGTGTTTTCTAGTTTGATATCTGTGAATTAGTGTTGAAAGTGTATATCGTAATGATAATATATCAGTGAAACACAAATATGGTCAGAGAAAATATAACCAACTGATATATGTGTAAATTGTTAATGTGTAAGGCAATAACGTGACCAACTTACAGGCTTTTGGTTGCCAAAAATGTTTTCATGCCTGAATATGACCATGATTTGGTAGCAGTCTGGAAATAAAAGTTTGGCATTTCATAATGCTGGTCTTACTCCCTCAGAAGATGTACGTACAGGATCTGTGGATTTACTGTTTACATATGAGACTAACCATTGTCGTCTCATTGCTGGTAGACTCATGTAAACTACTTCATCCTTTTCAAATGTTGGAGCCAATTCTGCACTGCCATTGTCTTGTATTAAGAGCAAACTGGCAGTTATATAAGAGGGCAACTTGTTACAGAAACAATGGCCTTATGACAAGTGCACTCCATATGGTGCGTCTTGAGCACATCTCTCATTAAAAGTCAATCATTGTAATGTTCCTTGTAGTATCAAGTTACAGTGGGGAAAGAAGCTGAATTATTGAAAAAGGGTTCGTTAACTGCCTGATGGGGTGGACGCTCTTGTTTGGGGAGTGGGATTCCTCATTGTACATTGGGAGTGCTTTACATACATCACTGGCACAAAGACCATACATCACTTCATAACCCCTTGCCTTGTGCTCCAGTGTCTGGAAGCTTTGTAAAGCAGCACTGATCTTATGATTTCTCAGTTTCCTATCCAGTAAGTACTGGGGGTCTTTCCCCCAGGGGTAAAGCGCTGTTAGAGCACGGCACTGACCACTCTCCCCTATCTAGTTCTGGGTTCAAGAACAAATAGATGGTATACCTCCATTCCCTCAAAGAACTTCCATGGGCTCTAGTGGTACGTTACAATCACACCAAAAGCAATTTATTATGAGCTTTAAAATGGAATAAATGCCAACAGAAGTTCAGTGCCTTATTTACTCATATGTCAGATAATTGAACGATGACGTAATAGGCTAGTCGTGAGAACTTTTTGTCATGACATTGTCTGACTTGTCATTTAAGAATTGCATGTTAGAACCACCTTCTCTAAAATCACTTTATATGGAAACATGTGGTATTGAATGGGTATTTTTTGTTCTATGTGTGAGTTAATCTTGTTCTGTTGCAGTCAGTGGTTTAGCATTTACATTCACAAATGGGCTCTTTCCTTGGAATTGATTTCTATCCCTATAGTGTGTAGAGGGGATGGAGGGTATTTTCCCCCAGTGGCTATGGTAACGTAATGACATGGTAGCCGAACATTGCTTCCACACTTGCGGCTTAATTTATTCCACCCCACAAAACCCTAACAGAGAGTGCACAGGGACACAAACTAACATTTATTTACTTAATAGAACAGCAGTAACTGAATATTAAAGTGCCTGACATGATATAGATATGATATAATATGCAGTACGTATGCATGCGTGAGGAGATGACTTTTGAATAAGTGAGCTGTCTGCCTTCTCTGTTTAGTCCATGCAATGCATTATATTTCTGTTGATTTTCTTCAATATTTGTTTTGCATATTGTTCATTTTCATTCTTCCACTTTTGATAAGCTGATAGTTGTTAAGCTAGTCAAGAAATCCCTTGTGTTTTACTTTATGGAACACAAATGTTTAGTACCATGTTTGCAAGAATGCACCAACAGTCTCTGTCGTGAAGTACGTGAATCCAGTCTTTATCCCTGAAGATAGGGGCAGTGTGTTTCTTTGAAATGTTGATATCTTTTTGCAAATCCTCATGACATCACAGTCCAGAATTAATGTTAATATATTTTATATAGCATTGAGAAGTCTGCAGTCTGTAGTGTTTACATTATTTTAAAGTGAAGAGAACTTGAAACGTTGTGATGGAGTAACTATTATATTTCATTTATGCGCTAAGCACAATGGAAATGTTATCAGTTAATGTAGGAGTTAAGACAATTTTCCTCTGGGTCCAATAGATTGAGTTCTGTTGTGATTCATCATTGATGACATAATGACACATTGCCGTGAGGGTGATGTATTGTGATTTACTGAGTTGTTATTCTTGTGGGAATTCTCTTTGTGGTCAAGGGACACTGCACATGAATACTGTTTCCGATGTCATGCGACAGCGTAATGAAAGGCCATTCAGTACAAGTTACACAAAACTGGTCTGTTTGTGGAACTGTACAGATATTGTAATAATTGTAAAAATTCCTTCTCAGTTTTTACTCACTCTTTACTGGTGTGGAAATATGTACTCCTTAATGGAGTACACACAGTTTTGAAGGGTATTATTCACTGCAGTAATACTTTACCATGGTGAATGCCACTTAAAATTCTGCTTTAAAGATAACTTTGAAAAAGTATTTATTTTATTGGTGCAGCAGGATTTGGGTGTAAAATACACAAGTTTACTGAGTTTATAATTCTGATAATACGAAACATTTATGCAGTATCATAATCCATTCATCAAATTAAGCTTATGAAATAGAAGGCAGTTTAAATTTACGTCAGGTGTGTTGGCAGCAGAGTACAATTTTTGAAGCTTGTCATTAAGCATTTTTCTACCTATTGCCTCCTTTCCCTTAGGTCCAAATATTCTGTTTTAAAACATCCTCAGATTGTCCCTCAGTGTGAGAGACAGGTCATGTTTCACACCCATACAAAATAGTAGTTAAATTATATTGTGTGTTCTAATCTTTATGTTGCAGATAAGATATGAGAAGACAGAATATACCGGACTGAATGGTTGCAAGTGTTTCTAGGATTTAATCTGTCCTTAGTTAATTAATGAGTGTAATTTTTTGTTTGTTATTGTATTTCCAAAATGTGTGAACTTAGCCCCATTTTCAAAGGATTTATTTTTATTGCCTATCTTAATATTACAGTATTGTAATATTATTCTGCATTCTGGTGACAAGATATGAATATGTGCTCAGATGTATTTGTATTCAGAACTCAAGCAAGGGATTTGGGAATTAAGAAATATAATAAGAATGGATAAACAGAGAGTTTGTGTCACCTTGAATAAAATAGTAATATAATACTCAAACTTGTTTTCTTGCAGGGGATGTTTTGTTTTTTAACCTTCACTGTCCAACATTAACACAATTTCGTGTTTGATTGTACAGCACTACCGCAAATACAGCAGCAGCCGGCAGACCAGCAAGTATTCCCAGGACAGACAGCTTACTTTAGTTGTTGGGTGGATGCTACTCCACCAGCCACTGTCACTTGGCTCAAAGATGGACGACCATTGCATTTGGATGAGAGTCGCATGTTGGTCCTGCCCTCTGGTGAGACTGTGTGTGCTTAAGAAATGATCTGCTTTTTTCCTGAATTTATTAAGGAGTTTATATTGTACTTTTAACTTATTTTGTTACTACATTAATACTTGGAAAACTGCAGATTGTGCAGAATTGAAACATGTTTTCAGTTTTGGAATGCTAATGTATCTAGAAAATGCAAGTAAATTCATAGTTGCGTTGTACTTATTTATGTCATACAGAATTTTGAACTTTATTTTTGAAATACTAGAATACTTAAAAAGTCAGTATTTTCAAACCCCGTTTTATTGAATTTATAAAAGTACAGCTGCGGATCTTGTTCTTTACCCATGTAATTTATTCAAATAATGAACTTGTTACACAATAGTTTGTGATATCGTACGGTTTAATAAAAGTACACTTAATCCTTGTCACTATATATGAATATTACATTAATCTTCTGCATGTATTTTCAATGAACTTCTGGGCAGTTTGGTATCTTAAATACACTCATGGCTGCAAGGTAACACTGAATTTTTTGTAAATATAGATTATGTAAGCTTTCTGAGATTTGTGTATATATATATATAAGTGAGATGTTAAGTATGTGTATTAAAGGCATCGTGCATCAGCAAGGGTTTGTAAGGTCGAGACTTGATAATGAGTGAATATTCAAAGGAGGGACCGACTTCTCATGCTGGCAAATGCAATTCCATGTATACATTGTTTATAGGAGCGCTGGAGCTTGATGAAGTACGAGCATCAGATCAGGGCAGTTACCAGTGTAATGCCACAAGTCTGGACCAGCATCGTCTCACTGTCGCTGCAACACTCAGCATTGACTTGAATCTCGGTGAGATTGTTGTGACATTTGAAAAGTTTTTGAACTGGTGTAACGGACTGACCGTGTTTGAGGACCTCTTTGTAATCTTATCGATTGTCTGTTTTCTGCAAAATATCTGTCTGGCGTGTCATGCCATATTGGTATTCATTGTTTACAGCAATGCAAATAAAAAAAAAACTTTTCAGGCCATGCTAGGAATGACTTACATTACAAGATCACAAGAAAGAATATGCATCTTAACATCTGTGGAGATTATGCCATTGTGCTTAAAAACAACTCTGTACTGTATAGTGGACAGTGCACTAAACCATCACATACCATTCCACCATCAGCCACGCCACAGAGAACTCCATGACCGTCAAATAAACAAGCTGTTACATATACCACTGTACACATTTAACAAGACCAAAATGTTCATAAATTTAAGTTCTTTTAAGCTACATAATGAACAAAACTGAACAATTTAATAATTCAACGAGTTTCACTAAAATAACTAATTTTATATTTATGACATGTATGTCATATGTCTGGATGGGCCATTTTTTAATATGCTTGTATAAGCATTATAAGTGCATATATAAAATGTATACTTCCTATTTTATATCTTCATGTAAAGGTCTGGTGTTTGCATTTGTTATATGCCAATATGTATAAAATACACTCGATGATTAAAAGTTGTCGTCTGACAGAAATATAGACAATTGTTTAGTAAAATATTAGGTTGAAGTAGACTGTTACAGGTGACAGCAGTTAATGTTTTTCTTTCTTTCCTATTTTTTTTATTAAATTGTGTCAAGGGGAAAAAACATGAAGATTAATACATTTTTCACATTAGATTTATGAGGACTGTTGATGGCATGGTGTTTACAAGTGATGTGAATTTGGAACATTT